AGTTTGTGATCTGTCATCAGATTCTGAATCCAATTTAGATGCAACTATGAGGGAAAAGAAAGAGAAAGATGAGGATGAGGATGAGGATGATGATGACACTGCACTCATAAGTACAGTCATAGGAAAATCTACAAAGAAACAGATGAAACAGGAAGATGTTCAACCGACAGAGAAGAAAACTCATGAGCCTGTGAAAATGGAAGGTAGCGTAGTTTAATTTTTAATATGGCTTGTAAAGAATCAAAGTTTTAGTTTCATGGTTGTTTAGAGCCAGAGCTATCCATGCATTCATGAGTAAAAAAGTTTGACCCTTTTTCTTCTGTTAATTTTATTTTAAATTAGTCATTTTCTGGTAAATAATGTTTTGTGTATTTGTGTGTGATAGGCGAAGTTGGCAATATGGATATCGCAGAGGAAAACAAACTTGAGAAGCAAACTGAAGCTGCAGTGAGAGACATTAATATCTTGATATTGTATGTGTCTAATCTTTGGTTTGCTAATACACCTTGTTATGCTAATTGTAGGTTAGCTCCTCTACTTTGCCTTTGATACTGCCTGATAAAGTACATCGCTCTAAGGTAAGCACTTTCATGTTTTTAATTTTTTTTTTTCCTTTGTAAGCTCGTTATCTTACTTAACTATGTTGTTCGAGATAATCGTGTCACCTCCAACTCTTCCTTCTCTCCCTTCCCTTCTTTCCTGTAGGTAATCCTATATTTGCTGCAAAATGATTTTTTGAGTTTCATCCAGAGTTTCATAACTTCACCTTATATACTAGAAGGGGGTTTACGGTTACCAATGCAATTTTTAAGGGGCAAAGATTAGAGAAAGTTTAAGGAACTTGTGGTATGTAATTTAGGTGGGGAGAGAATGTTTGGATAATTAATCAACCACCCACTGCCACCACCAACACCACCCACACCGCCTTCACGACCACCACTGCCGCCTTCACCACCACTAGTACCACCCCACGAAACCACCACCACTACCAAACCCAGAAATCCCAAACCTTACCCAGAAATTGTCACCCAACACCCAGAAATTGTCACCCAAATCACCTAAAACCCACGCCCTAGAACCCTAACCCACAAATCGTCACCATCATCACCTTCCATCGAAACCCAAAACCCATGCCCTCAAACCCTAACCCAGAAATCCGACCATCATCATCACCTTCCATCAAAATCAAAACCCAAAAAATCAAAACTCAGAAAATCGAAATCAAAACCTTGAAAATCAAAACCTAGAAAATTGAAATCAAAATCCATAAAATTAAAACTCAGAAAATCGACGAAGAGGAGAGAGGAAGACGAAATCAAAACTCAGAAAATCAAAACCCATTTTCTATACTCGTTTTGTCAAAGATTTGTTGTTTAAAGTCTCGATCTGGAGAGTGAAGGACGAAGAGGAGAGAGGAAGACGAAGACGAAGAGGATGAACATGTAGGTTCATTCGGAGGTTTTTCACTATTAATGGATGGAATATCACAAATTGGAGAAAATGAAGGACGAAGAGGAGAGAGGAAGACGAAGAGGATGATGAATTGGAGAAAATAAAGGACGAAGAGGAGAGAGGAAGACGAAGAGGATGAACTTGAAGGTTCATCTGGAAGAATTTGAAGGAATACCAGCCATCACATTAATTGTTGGTGGTTGGGATTGGGAGTAAATGGAGAGATTAATTAAATTAGGGAAGTCTGATTAGTTTTAGGTTAATGTGGTTAAATTAAGTTAAGGGCAAAATTAAGAAAATCAGAGTTTTTAAGTAAGGGTAAATATGTAATTTCCAGGGTTTTTGTTTACTAAAAATAGTAAGAAAGCAGAGAGTTGCACATAACCCTGATCATCCTGTTTTGGCAAAAGTTGCACATAACATTTAACGGAAGTAGTATATGAAATATAATTATTTCTTTTAGTAATAAGAAGTATATGGTTTTGCAGGCAGTTGTTGAGTGTGAAGGTGAATCAATTGATTTGAGTGGTGATATGGGTGCTGTTGGACGAGTAATTATTTCAGAGACTCCTTCAAAAGAATCTGAAATGTTTCTAGATTTAAAAGGTTTGTGTATTGAGCATCATAGCCTTCGATAGATAGCTAATGTACATAAGTATTTTCTTGGCTCACAAATCTTAAATATTATTTGCCCTTCAATTTGAAAAAAAAAAAAAAAAACAATTTCAAAATTAAACTGCCATTAACAACTTTTAGGGACATTCTCTTATATATAAAAATGTTGCCAATGTTCAGTCTTTTGATGCAGTGGTAACTGTCAGTGGCGTCACCAGGATTTTCGAAGTGTGGGTTCGAAACTTCCGAAATTTGAAATCATAATTAACAAAGGAATAAAAATACAATAATTAAATATTCAGTACATAAATAAGTTCAAACTATGGATTACAAATAGATTACACATAGAAAAATGAAAAAAAAAAAAAAAAGACTACAGAAGCATTCTTCGAGTCTTCATTCTTCGAGTCTAGATTTCGTTTACTAATTACTCAATTAGTAAACGAAATCTAGACGGCAGAAAACGAAATAGCAAATGAAATTATGAAAACTAGAAGGCAGAAACGAAATACAGAAAATAGCATATGAATTGGCAGAAACGAAAGGCAGAAAATAGCATAGCATATGAAAATAGCATACGAAATACAAAAAAATCCCCAAATTGAGAACTTGAGAAGTAAATTAGATAAGTATAACCAAACTTCAGCAATTTACAAAAAATTGGCAATTCGTAAATCGTAATGTATATTAGCAATTGAATTTAGCATATGAATTTCAAGTATTCAATGATTTAGCAAAAAAAAATCCCCAAATTCACTTACCCCTACATACACCGATACACCATACACGGCTGTGAGGCTGGGTCTGGGTGAGTGGCTGGTGCGCTGCCGGCCTGCCGCTGCCGCCGTATTCTGCTGACTCTGCTGCCGTGCTGCGCCGGGAAGAGAAGGAGGAAGAACGGGAAGAGATTAAGAGAAGGAGGATTGGAGGAAGAAGTTAGGGTTTTGCAATTTGGGGGAATGAGGAAGAGGAAAGCTGCCTGGAACTCTGGAAGCAGGAAAGCTCAGCTGCTCAGGAAACAAAATTAAAAAAAAAAAGTGTGAGTTATGGGTTTTGAACCCACAAACTCTTGTGTGATGGGAGGTAAAAATAACCACTGGGCTACAACTTTACTTGTTGCCATATAATACACAAATATTCTATTTAAACCTATTTTGATTTTTTTTTTTTTTAAAAAAAAAAAAAAGTTTTTAATTTTTTTCAAAAAATCAGTGGGTTCAATGAACCCACTTGAACCCACCCTAGCTCCGCCCCTGGTAACTGTTGACCCTCTATTCCTTTAGGCATCTCATCTTATGTCCAGTCACTTTTCATTTTTGCCAACTCAGTATCTTAGTGAAGCAATTGTCATTAGCCTAATATTAGAGTTTCAATGCAGTTGAGGTGGCATAATCAATATAGGATGGGACACACAGTACTACTGTAGGACACAGAATGCTATGTATGATTTTAAATTTTTAATCTTTCCTGATGTGCATATACCTCCTGTTTACTCATTTCCTTGTTCAAATTTTCTATTTTGGTGGTAATTGCAGGAACCATATACAAGACTGTATTAGTTCCTTCAAGGACATTCTGTGTGGTACGTAGTACGTTACCATATCCTTCTATATTTCGACATTAAATGTCTTTACCTTTTGCTGTATGGCTAAATTATTCATTAGCTATATGAAATCGATACCTTATGTAGAAGAACCCTAATCTGTGTAATTTTTCTTCAGGTTAGCATTGGTCAGTCTGAGGCCAAGGTATGTCTGTATGATATCTATGCCTTTAACATTTGCATTTTCTCTCCCTGTTTTTTTTTTTTTTTTTTTTTTTTTTTTTTTTTTTTTTTTTTTTTTTTTTTACTTTTTTAATATTCATCACTTTTCATTAATTTAAATATGTCCCATAGTCTTCTCTAAATCAAGTGTCTGAAATTGTACTTTGCTCATCACATTTTGGTCAAGACACCAAATTCTATGTCCCATATTATGTTTATAATGTGCTCTTCTCATCCACAATGATGAATTAGGTTGGCCTCCTACTGAGGTTTAATCTAGAATTTTTCATCTAATCAAGAGGGATAAAATAAGATTATTATGTAGTGATGAAAATTCATTTGTTCTAGTATCCCTTGAGCAGATAGAGGCCATCATGAATGATTTTATTCAGCTAAAACCACAATCAAATGTTTATGATGCTGAGACTATGGTTGAAGGTTAGTTTTTATCCTTTGAAGTCCTTTTGCAGCCTCATTATTCTACTTAGTTTTATCGTGCAGCTCTTATGTTACTATGAGTCTTTATCTGGATGCTAAACTTTCTGTGAGTAGGAACACTGGAAGGGTTCAACTTTGACTCAGATGATGAGACTGATAAGATGACCAAGGATGTCAAAGGTGATCAGAATGAAGGTGAAGAGAAACCTAACAAGAAAACTAAAGGAAAAGCGGAGAAAAAACCGGTATGTACTAAACGATTCACAGTAGTTATGATGTAATATAATATTTACCTTGAGATAAATTTTCCCTTATATATGCATGGTTACTAAATCATGAAGGCTGCGACAAAAAAGAAGGGGAAAGATGTAGGAGGGAAGCAGCCGAAGAAAAGGAAACCTCAGGCACCAAAGAAAGGCAAGGCTAAGAAGTAAATTATGAGATTTGTTTTTCTGGTTATAGGTTGTACACCAGTTAGGATATATTCTTGTAGTTGGCAGGATAAACCAAGATAGTCTAATTTTCGATTAGTTTGATCGAAGTTGTAGGATATTTTTCCTGTGTTCCCTTGTTTTTATTTATTGAATGTGATAACAAATTTTCATAATGAAAGAGAACATTGATACATATTATATTATAAAAGATGATTATTCTATCTTCTGCGCTCAAGATGTTAGTAATAATTGAGATCTGTCTATGGACTGCCTGGTAAATGTGGTAATTTTATTTACAGCTGATCTTCCTTGTGTCATTTGAGTTTTAGAGGAACCAGGTTCCATCTTCTGCATTGATTCTGTATTCTCGGAGAAAATCCTTATGTGCTCTCATTTTTCCACGTATAACACCTTCAACCCTCTTGTCCTGCCTCATATCTCTGGCCAAGCTTGTTAATTCTGAATTTCTTTCGCCTAGAGTGCTGAAAGTTTGATCCTGTTTAAGGAACATTTTATGTCAACAACAGCAAGCTAATGATCAAAAGTATATGCACATAATTCGGTATGACGGTGTATGAGGAGGACATTTCCCCCTCAGATGCCCCATAACTGTGCTTTTCAAATGGTGGTTCTGAATTGCCAGTGAAGCTTGGCGGTGTATCTTGGCCAATTGGTGGTGGATTGTTGGTGAGACTTGGAGGTGGTGTATATGAGATACTTGGCGGTGGCATAGTTGTGCCACCAATTGGTTGTGAACTGTATGTTGGTGGCGATTCATATGGGATGCTTGGCGGTGACAAAGCTGTGCCACCTATTGGTGGTGGACTGTAGGTGGAACTTGGTGGTGAATTATATGGGACATTTGGCGGAGATATAGCTGGGCCACCAATTGGATTATTTGCCCTGCGCCATGATCAGAAGAAAAGAAATAACAATTAGAGAAGAGAATACATCATTAAAGGTGATATATAGGATTCAGGGTATAAAGACAGTTAGAAATGGGCATTACATAGCAGCGGATTTGGGGCAGAACAGTATGACATAATTACTAGCCTTGCATGTGAATGTGCTTGTGCCATCATCAAAGGCGTAACTATACGCCCTCGGACAGGCTCTCTTGAAGACTCGTGAATAATACGATGGTTGACACGTTGTCGGATTAGCAAACTGTCCGCTACAGCAGTATTGGGCTAGTCCAAATGCCTCACAGGCACTTTTGCATGCGATCACTCCTCCCTCTGCTCCTTCTCCACCCATCACTTGCAGCTCTTTCGGGCAGCCTGTTTGAGACAAATTCCATGGAAAATCATCAGCTAAGCTATATAATTCTCACCTGGCAACAAGTAAATCTTATGATCATACATAAATTAAACAGTAGCGAGTGCTGTGATGCATTATATCATACGATTTGTCATATCCATGATAGGAGCTATTAGCATAAAAAGATACTAAGATAGGCATCAAGGCTCTGTTATCCTTTGCAGCTTCAATTATGCTCTACTTGACTTTGGTATATATGGCTCGAGATTGGTTCGGTTGAACCCGTACTGGCTAGGATCGAACCACAGCATCTACAATAGGTTGCACCGATACGGACACGGATACAGACACGATAAAACGGCAATTCTAAAATTGGGGACACGGATACGGCAAATAACTAGGCATATAATATATTAAAAAAAGAAAATTTGACAACCTATTCAATAAAGCACTAAATAATTAAACTCAAAATAAGTAATTTTATTTAAAACAAGTAATTATTTAGTGTCCGTATCCGTATCCGTGTAATTATTTAGTGCCGTAAAACAAGTAAACAAATTCTGTTGAAATTTTCAGTAGAAAAAAAAACAGTCCAAATATATTAAAAAAAAAAACAGAAAAACCTAAACAAAACCCCCCAACCAGGCAGTCAACCGTCATTTTTTATTTCCCAAACCCACTTTTTATTTCTCTCTCCTCATTTTTCTTCCTCCCTCTTTCTTCTACCTTCTTCTTCCATTGCTTCTCAACACCTTCACCTTCTTCTTCCACGCCTTCTCAACCACCTTCCCAACCCAAAAAAGCAAACACCACCTCACTAGAAGACCAACTCGAGCAATTAGATGAACAAAAACGAACAAGTTCGAGGTATGAAAGTCCCTTCCTCATTCGTTCTCGACTATCGACCTACGGTTTTTATGGTCATATTCGACCATGAAACTCTAGATCTAGTGTTTCATGGTCGAATTTGGCCTTTTAAAACCAAATTCGAGGCCTAATCCAGGATTAATTATAAGGTATGTTCGTTCTTCCATTTTTTATTTTCTGTTTTTTTTTTGTTTTTAACTTTTAGATCTGTATATTTGTGTATTTGTGGGTAATTGTTGTGTCCTTAATACATCCTATGGCATCTACAATTGTACATCGATTCTGGCCTCAACCACCCCTTATGATGTGCATGAGATTGTGATAGCATTTAGGATAAGCAACTTGAAATTTACCCATGTTAAGATCAGAAATACATCCTGTCGCGTTGCAAGCAGCACCGTTAGTCCCAGTAGGCCAGGCAACAAGAGGGAGATTATAACCATCCACCATACTAACATCATAGAAATCCTTGTTACTCCCTTGGCCTAATGTGATCTCAAACAGCGAAGCAGGCGGTGTTGCCCCACTCCCACCACATTGCAACCTCCCTCCACAATCCCCTGTAAGACATTTCCCTGCACCCGTCTGATCAAACTTGCAGCCTGTCCTAGCCCATATCCTGCCTGACCAACCTGGAACCGTCTCAAGCCTCGCAGTCTTCCCGGAATCTAGCTGAAACCCTGTGGATGAAAGTGGGGGCGTTCCCGACCCAGATAATGTCCCGGGCCATATCGTAAATGGACAGTTGTTGGTTATTGTGAATGTAGAACAAACTGTGAAAGGAAAGAGCAATAACAAGAGATAAAAGTTGAAATTTGTGAGCTTAAACAATAACTTTTTTAGCATTATAAGAGTTGTTCTGTTTTGTGCACTAGAGAAAGGGAGGAATTAAGAGAGGGAGGGTCTATTCTAAGCTATGGCAGTAGTCTTGAGGGTTTAAGGAATTATAGAGGATTTTGGATTTGAAAAATCCGACAATGGAAATACTAAGGTCTACGTTACTTTACTTCATGTATTAGCCGCGATATTAAGTTTTTAAGTTTATAGTTATTTATTTATATATTTATCTATGTTTGTATGTATGTATTTTTCTTAGATAGCCTCAAGAAAAAGAAATTCCTTTCTTTCAATTATTTTAACAAAGGATTAAAATGGATAAATAAATTGGGAGAGAAGGGTTTATAAGTTGACTTTGCTTGTGTGACAAATTAGGGGTAGTCCAATTTTATAATTGGAAAAGAATCTTAAACATAGGATTTGATATAAATGAAGTTCATATAAATGGTACTTGAAGTTTACTTTTGCAGCAAAGAATGAATATTTTGCTTTGAAGATACACCAAATAATTCCTATGAGATATTTTGATTACTTATATTATTCTAAGTAGATTCAGAAAAGTATCCTTTGACCTTAGGTTGCCCTAAGTGAAGGTGTAGCTCTTGCATAGTGTGAAAAGGTGGGGTACTATCCCAAATGGTACTGCTAGAAATGTAATGCTTCCGTGTTCATGGTGTCATGGTTCATCTCCCACACCTTAGGGTTAGGGTGCATCGAGTGGGTCGATGGGCATGGTAGCAACAAGGTGGCCTGTCCATGAGCTAGGAGCATCACTTCCCCTGAAAAGCTCTACTTCGAACAAATTTAAACCCATGCAAGCAGTGCAAATCTTAGCAAACAACCAAAAAATCAAAAACTTGACTCAAGTAGCAACATAACACAGTTTTTTCATTCGCCTGGAATTCTGGTGGCAAAAACTTTATTGAAACCAATGCATTTGTCATAAAAGATCAAAGAGATAAAGATTTGATTATCACTGATTACATTACATCCTTTATTAATACACAATGCTAAGATTTGATTATCACTAATTACATTACATCAAATGTAATGCTCATACCCTGATCTCACTAAAAAGCTCTGCCAACTCTTTCAAACTAAAATCTATAATCATCTTGCAAAACTTATCAGAAATACTTTCAGACTGCTCTTCATCCAACATATTCAAGCCTTCAGAGAATACAATTGTTTCCCATAAAGGACTTCAGGAAGTTCAAAGACAGTAGTTCTATGAAAAAGATTGCAAATTGAAGCATGTCAACTATCTGTTCATCATAAATTCATGCCTTCAGATAATACAACTGCCTCCAAGATAAAAGTGCAGGAATTAGAGATTCGAAGCTGCAAAGAAGCAACTCGTACAGCATTCAAACTACTGGTTGGTAAACAGGACAAGAGTATATTAATCTCAAATGGATGGGAAGTGATGAGCCAAATAATCATTGAAACTCCAAAAACAAAGGCTGATACTGTAACCTTATCTAAAATCAGCATCAACTTCCGGAGAAGCACTGGAGAATTGTATCATGATATTCAATAGAAAAGCAGAGATCCTCTCAAAACCTATACCAGGGCAGATCTGATCACTACAGGATGTCTTCCAAAATTCATCTTGTTGATTCAATTCTCGAAGCAGAGATTAATAGCCTATCAGCTGACACTTGCAGATTGTCCAATTGATTAGTGTTTAAGACACCTTCATGAAACACCACAAATAGCCATATTGCTGCATTCCTGGAAAGGCAATGAAAGAAAGTTTATTAGTAATTTCGTTGTGTAGAAATTATACTCAAGAAATCATATAGTACACATAAGCAAATTATAACTCCCTGACTAGAAAAAGTTTGTAACCTGCAAAATAACACCAAAAAGAGCACACATGTCAAAACAAACAATGAGTTGTAACAAAAGTCAGATGTATCTATGTTGCTCCTCCTCCCTTTGTTCCCCAATTCTTTGATTTTATTTTTTGGATTGGGGTTGGGGCAGGGAGGGAAGCAGGGATCAATAGATACAACTTACAACTAAAATAAAGAAGAAAGTGTTCTACAAGCTGCAAGCTGAAGATATAGCATTATTACAATCGTAGAATGTAACAAACAAAGATGTCTGAGACATTCCCAACCAAGTAGGCAAGAGATAAAAAGAAAAGTCTGGATCATAGTAAATGCTGCAAAAAAGGCTCCTGATGAGATAGCACTGGAAACTTGGTTTGGCGCACCCATACCACTAACCAAAGAAAACATGGCTCCTGAACCAAATGCTGCTGCCATGCTGCAATTCATCAAGTTAATGCATATATAAACATGTTTGACAAAGAAACTATAAACACACAAACAATAGAAATAAAGTGACACAAAGGAGGTGTCTACTAAACAAGGATTTCTATATTAAAAAAAAAAAAAAAAAAAAAAAAAAAAAAAAAAAAAAAAAACCAGTACTTCAACGATTGATGGCCTAGCTAACAATTATATTGTTCAACTTAATCAATTTGTTCATTTTTCCCAGGTCAAGAATTAGAGCTGAAATATAGAGGCAAGAGCACCATTGCCAATAACCAACAAACACAAATCAATACTTGCAACAGTGAAGTAAAACAAAAGGGTAGATACAAATAAAAGTCATGCTGCGAGAGCTGCAAAATGGTTTTGTAGCAAGAATGAATAGCAAGACTCGGAAAATTATCAACAAATGGGAAATTAGGCAAGCTTACCTGGACCATACATCCTCCTTCCCTTTGATTCTCCTCAAAACAGTAGAGATGCCAACATTGACACCTGTCATGACAGCAAAGTTGCGAGCTTGAACCAATGGGCCCCCAGAGAGAGCCTACAAACAGGAAAAGACTTTATCAAGAACCAAGCACAAGCTTATATACTTCCCCAATTTTTTAGTAAATGTCTTTGAAAGTTATGCTCACGTATCAAGGAAATGTTAGTTACTTAGTTATTGCATTGATATTCAGAACACACAAATTTAATTGTATCAGTAAGTTCCAAGTGCATAGATATTTTAGACACGAAATAATAAAGATAAATAATCAATAACTGCACAAATTATAATATAGGAGTAAGGCTGTAAAAGGTAAAAGTGAAAGCTTGGTCATCAAGTAGGAGACATAGTTATACATTAGAAAAGAAGGTAGCTCCTTTTCATTCTTAATAAACTCAGAAGCATCATCCCACTACCACCACACACACACACACACACACACACATAAAAGTGCAACTTTCTATTTGAGAAATGGGGCTAATAAATAATTAACAAAATTTTGAAATAGTAAAACATAGCCCCCTTTTTCCAAACGAGGCAACTTGTTAGTCCACCCAAAATATAACAGTGCTATAAATTACTATCACTTTCCCCATCCCATGACACATAGTATGATAACGAAAATAACCTATTATACTTCTACAAGGATCACAAAATGTAAGACATCAATACATAAATTAGATATTGATACAACAGCTATGAATTATATCAGCTCCTTCCATGGAGGGAGCCTGCATCTGCCATGAAAGTAACTAGTTTTCTTCAAATGTAGTGAAAAGTAGGACTAAAACCCACAATTTTTTGTACTTACAAAAATAAAAATCAAACTCTCCGTTTTCTATATAATTATAAAATGAAAAACTGATGTGTCTACAATCTATAAAGCCACCCCAATCCCAAAGATGTAAAGCAAAAATCTAGACAAACCATAACAACTTGAGCTCCCCAACAAGGAGCTCGATATATTAGGTCAGTACCAAAATGAAACTATAGGGACTTTTTTCTGCAAATGTATTGGTGAGAAGTAGCACTAGAAATCCCCAACCTTTTCACACAAACGAAAATCAAAAGTAGTAAATTTCTTATGGAAACCCATAGTGTCTACAATCTATAAAGCCACCCCAATCCAAAAGGTGTAAAGCAAAAAACTAAACAAGATATTTCAATTCGAGCTCCCCAATATGGAGCTCAATACATTTAGTCAGTTCTGAAATGAGATTATAGGGACTTCGTGAACACCTCTCAACCCTCTTTATACCCAAAATTCCAAACATCCCATTTTCAGGTAATTGAACAATTAATCCTAATATCAACACACAGAGCGCCCCATGGTTATAAACTTCCAATCCTACGCGGACGATATCAGGGGATTCATTCTCAAAATCAATGCAATAAGAGGTGATATACACATAACAAAATTCAAGGATATCATTCTATAAGATTGTATAAACATCTAATATACAAGAACACTCATACCCACATTAAACATATACCCAAAAACAATCAAATTATGCACCACCCACAAAATAACAGTCATAATCATACCCACATTAATCATATAACCAAACACAATCGAATTATTCACTATCCCACATAATAACACTCAAATTAACATAAAAAACATCAAATTTCATTCCAAAAGAATACAATAAAATGAGAAACGAAGAAAACTCGAAATTAAACCTGGGCTTGTTTTAAACTAGCCATAGCATTAGGGTCAAGGCTACTAGGAGGAGGCTGCATAGGCATGGAGGAGGATAAATCCTGTGTAAAGGTACCCATAAGACCACCAATAAGGGCACCTTGAATGGCTCCACCAGCAGTAACAGCAGTAGCTTCAACAGGAATAGATTGTTTAGAAAGCCAAGATTTAACGTTAACTTCCAATTTTTTGATTTCAGATTGAATTTGGGTAATTGGGTTTTGTTGAATTAAACCCTTTGGTCAATTAACCGCCATTAATTCTTGCTTTCCATCTCCCATGGTGGATTGTTTTTCTGGGGTTTTAGGGGTTTTCGGGGAGAAGATGAGAAGAGGGGTTTTCAGTGTTGTGTGGATGGATACATAAAATGGGAATTTGGAGTGGCAAAAGACAAAGTTTTGCCTGTCACTCGACCCAATTCCGTAACCTGGCAAATAGGTGTGGGAGGTTATTGGCTTAGCTATAATTGGAAAGGGGATTTAATTTTTAAATGCTTTAATTAAAACGCAAAATTAATCTCAATGACATACTCCATAGATTATAACATGAGTGCGTGGAGCAACACAATCTTAAACAAGTGAGTGCACTTCACATCAATAAAAATTATATTAGGCCCGCGAAATGACATACTTTGCACAATTGCAGCTAAAAATAGTTATATCATCTTTATTCCCCATTTTAGATAGTTTGTGATGTAGTCTTTGTAGCTACGAAGCTTGAGAGATGTTTCATGACGTTTGTGAACTTAGGTAAGTGAGTTTCATTCTCAAACATACATCAATATAATTCATTTAGCAAGTAATTTAAGACTTGTTATAATTAACTAACAAAGCGAATATAGTTAAAATTAAGCCGATCATCAAATCAAATCAAATTAAATAAAAAAAAAAATTTTAAATGTCAAGTCTCATATTGAAAGTTTCTTTAAGATTTCTTTTCACCTACATCGAAAGATTTTCCCTACAACAATTGCACCACATGACAATACAACCCTCTCATATACTTAACAAACTTCGATGTCACATACTTACCAAACAATCCTAGGACATAACATCGTGCACTCGCATCTAGCACCACCACCCTCTCGTCCATCGTCCCCAACACCGTCCTAGCGTCGCCACCACCAGCTCTTATGTTGTTTTAAATTCACACCCCCAAGGGACCAAAGGACCCAACCCAACCCCTAAGTATATACTACGTACAAGTAATAACTAGCTAGCATGTTATGTAGAAAATTTAAGTTGTCGTAACTTGTTAGTCGAAATCCAATACAACAATTTCTGTATTCTCCCAAGCAATGACGGATCTAGGGGGTGGCCAGCCCAGGCCATAGCCCGCCCCATTATCCAAAATAAGTATAATTAATTTACTTTGCACATACATATGCTGAAAACAACTTGGTTGAGATAGTTGGATCACTAATCATGTAATATTTGTATTTAGAGATCGAAACCTAATACCCACAATCATCAGCTTTTTTTTCCCAATATTTAATTTTGAATATGCTTTAACATTTGGCCCAGTCCATATTTAATTTTTAGATCCGTCCTTGTTCCCAAGGGCATAATACAACTCAACATCAATTTGAATTTGGCTCTGTATATTTTAATGGAAAACAATTTTTTGAGAAATTAATTCTCCATGAAAAATAATTTTCAAGGAAAACACAATTGTAAAACTAGTTTTTTTTTTTAATTTTTTTAATTTATTTATTTTTAAAACAAAAAAAAAGGTATATAGGAAGGGTTAAATAAGAGTGGAAGGGAGAAGATGGGTGAGAAGAGAGGTAAGAGATATAAACGGTAAAGAGTAGGGAGAAAAATGTGGAGGAAAGCGCCATGTGACACGTATACTTTAATTCAGCTACTCTAAGCTGACTTACAAAATCCAGATTATAGTCAATGGTAAATTGGTAATTGTAATGCCAAGGGGGCAAGGACTTTTTAGTAACTTGCAAAATCCTTCAAAAAAAAAAAAAAAATTAACTTGCAAAATATTTTATATTTACTTACTGCTGATCTGTGCACCCGGGTGCACCATACGTGCGCACGTATGGTGCACCTAGTTAAACAAAAAAAATATGAAAAGAACATTCAGGTGTTTGAAAAAGAACATGTTTGTATTTAACAAAGAACATGCATTACTAAAGACATAAAAGACATTACAAAAAGAACGTGATTAAAACTTTATTAAAATTTCATGAAAAATTACACATTAACAGAAAAAATCTTGACCAAAGATATCATTTTCCCAAAATTAGTTTTCTCTCTCCAAAAATTCAACTTTCCATAATAATTTTAGTTTTCCCTCTCTAAAATTATTTTCAACTAAAAATAAATTCAAGATTTCTTTTTCAAATTAAATTTGAAATTTCAAAATTCAAATAACATATGTTAAAAAAACATAAGTTATAATGTAAAGAACATATAATTCATACCCAAAAAACACACTGGTCAAACTCAAAGAACATACGATAATAAAAAAATTTTAAATATGATATATGATAATAAGAAAATAATTAAATAGAATTTGTGCGTCACTCATTACCTCAAAGAACATACGTGCCAAATTCAAAATATATCGATCGTTTGTATTATTGAAACCCAAAAAACATGTTTAATCAACATATGTTAAAAAATATAAGTACTAAAGAACATATTATCAAACATAAGAACATATTATCAAACATATATAGGTATGTTCTTTGTCAAACACGGTATGTTCTTTGTCAAACAACAGTATGTTCTTTCCGCCTTTCAGGTGCACCATGCGCATGGTGCACCCGAGTGTACTATCCGATTTTCGCAACTTATGTGTGTGTGTTACTTTTTATATAATATTTTTGTTCATGCACAGCGTTTAATCTTTAATAAACTGCGAAGTGCATTATAAGCTTTGTAGAAGAAGGCATCATTATTCAATTCCTACTATCCACTCAGCAACTACTTAGCTTGCTGATATCCTAACCAAAGTGTCACGGCCGGTTGGAGTTCACTCTAGAGTTCTACACCTTCATACTCAGCATGGGGAGTGTAATGAGATATGGTGTGATTAGTAATTACTTCCTTTGTCCCTAATTTTGTATATTTTATTAATAGGATCTTGTTAATGAACGGCTTTGGGGTGTTAGATAACCTTCTAAAATAGTTCATGAAATGGTATTAATTTAGGAATGCATGCTAAAATCAAGCGTCGTTCGGTGTAATTAATGTTTATTTATGGTTAATATTTCTACTTTTTTTAGTTAGCTTATTGAACGCCTCCGGGGCATTCGTTAGCTTTTGCCTTATTAATATCTAGTTTTTATAATTTTTACACGTATGCAAATGGAAATAAATTAAGATACAGTTTAGAGATCGCGAAAAGTTAAATGGGGCAAATATTTAGGGAATAAGGGAGTATTAATTAGCATCTTAAACTCTTTCATTAGCCTTAATTGCATTATTGCGTTCTATATTCTCCGTTTAAATGATTATTTTCAGTACTCCCTTAGCTCCAACCATATTTTTTTGCTCCATTATAAATAATTGGGTCAAACTTTAAAAATTTTCACCGTAAATTCTCATTAATTTATAAGAGATAATATAATTTATTGGAGTCTTATTGAATTCGTCTCATTATATATTTTATTAAAAGTTATGTATAGTATTTTCCTTTATTAATATCAAGATTTATAATTTTTACGCATATAAGAATGGAGTTATATATAAAGTATGTATTAAGATGCGTTTTAGATATCGTGAAAAATCAAGACAAAAATATAGGAGGAAGTAGTATATTCTAACAGTTTTATTGGGAAGAGAAACATGGAGTAGTTGAAAATAAGAACACGATAATTAATTACGGAGTAGTTTAATTGGAATAAAATAATCACAAAAACAGACGCAAAAGTTAAAACATGAAAGTATTGATCATTAAAGAAACATATATAGCGATCAAAAGCATTAAATTAATAAGAGAGTACAATCTCCTCAAGGCTTGATTTAGAAAGTGACACAGAAATGACATTTGACGTACAAGTTCCTGGATTAATAAAATAAAATACTACTACGGGTACTTGAAACTAGTATAAACCTGTAATATAGTGAGAGCAAGTAGAACGCCCAAATATATCACAGATAAGAATGTCCATGGATGATCATCGAAGTAGTTACTTATAAAAATAATAGTCGTCCATCTATTCCATGATCGAATGCATTTAACACTTGACAAATGTCATAGTACTAGAAATCGAATGCATTTAACACTTGACAAATTCCCTTAGGTTGCCACAAATTTTACTCCGGCCTCTTTCAACTCTTTAGCAGTGAAAGTAAGCCTAATGTATCCATTATTGGGGGTATAGAATTTGCTAATAGGGCAAAGGCCGGAAGGCAAGTAGTAGATCCTCAAGCAATTGACTAGATGTTCAGGATTTGTTTCTTTGTCGATTTTATTCCCTCTTACTTCTGTACCAAATCTACCATCTATATAAAGAGGGAGCCCCATTTTCTCATAGTGTCTCACATGACATTTTTTTAAATAAACCAACAACTTTATTCATTTGTGGAGTCCACAATAATGAAAAAGTTGTTGATTTATTCACGAAAATGCTCTCATGAGAAACAAATTTCGTTTCTCACTATGAAAAACAGGGAATTTCCCCTATATAACTATATGTAAGATCCATGAAGGAAACTTCAGGGAAGGCTGCCCCAAATATTGTGTTGTATACGTCATTAAGAACAAAAAAGGGGAGTTGGTTTTCAATGAGAAATAGATCCGATTCAATTTAGCGACTACACTTAGCTTATTTCCTTTATAATAACTTTCCCTATTTTGGCATGGAGGAATTTCATTGTTAGAGTATATATAAAAAAGGTGACGATGAATGCAGTATCTATCATTATCATTTCAATAAACTCATTGCTAGAAAGTGGTAAATCGTTTTGATAATAAGCACGAATTTATACTCCAATTTTTTAACATTGTTGAACAATTCTTGTAAGCCATAACTACATTGGCTAGCCAGCTCTAGGAAGAATTGAAAATCCCTCATTTTCATCTCTTCAGAAAACTCTAAGGATATGTCTCTATAGTAGGCAGGACCAATGGAAACTACAAAAGGTTTATAGCAACATACTTCCTTTTTTGACCGTATTTATTCAGGCACCTTATCAATGCTATAGCAAGGTTTGGAAGTCAATTCAAGCTTGCATCGTATTGAAGCTTCCACGGCGCTGAATTGATCTTCCAGTCTGTAATTTGAAAATAAATGTATATGTGAGTGGACGGTTGATGTATGGTTACAAATTAAATAATTTTATTAAAAAATTGTGATTGTAAAAAATAGGGTAATTTAATTTTTTTTTTTTTTTAAAGTAAGATACAGG